CGATCCATTATGACCCGAATACGCAAGGCAGAACCATGCCCGGACATATTATCACAGCGGAGCTTGGTGCAAGGAGCTAACTTTGACGGACCTAATGATGTCGTGGTGCTGGATTCATCCACCATCGGTGCTGGCAATTGACACACCTCTGGGAAGAGGACGCCTCTAACCGAAAGAGGAGGGCCATCACGTGGCGATTGCCGAAACGCGGGGTTTGGTCTATATCCATCATGGATCCATCCATTGTTCCAGCTCCATATCTCCAAGCCCATCGTTCGTTCGCAACTCTCACTGTTCTCTTTCATGAAAATGCCAGGGCAGCTAGATTGCTTTATAGGGTGATTCTTCACAGAAGGGACACCTTATGCTGTAATTGACTACATTGATGCCCTCTTCACCGAACAATTGCTGTGGTGAAACGCTCTTCTGGCTTTGACGAGCCGCTCATCAACATCGGCGCTTACGGTGTGGAACTTCCACCGAGGGATAGCGCCTGGGAATGCCAAATATTCAACATTGAAACAACTTTATTGGACCTGATCCTCTTGCTCAGGGCTTTTTGCTCAAACCGAAAACTATCCGCCAACCATTGTGAGGCTGCAGCCTGAAAAGACGAGTTTGAAATGAACAATGGTCGAGTTCACGCAACGTGACACATCGACAAGTGAAACCAAGGGGCTAACCACCAAAGATACAAACAAGAAGAATGATCGAAGCATAACCAATGAGGGAATCTGAAATTTGAAGAAAAGAAACAGCATCTGACTTGCGACATTCTCGCTCAATTTTCCCACCGCAGATCATCAAGCTCCTCCTATGACAGTGCTCGCTGCTTTTCTTGCTTCTCTCGCTCCAGCTGGAGGATTTCTCTTTCGAGCTCCTTGATCAAAGCCTGACTTCGTTCCATGGAAGCTACGAGGGTGCCTCCCTCTCGCTTCCATCGAGTCAATCTTTCCACCTCGGCGTTTCGCCGCCGCACCTTGGTATCGATCTTATCGCACAGGCGGCATTTCACCTTCTCGTTGAAGGTCTCATTCACGAGTCTCATGCCGCATGTCTCGCCCGTACGATATTCGTAATTGCAACGGTGAGCGAAGGTGGTCCAACTCCAGTCACCGCATGAAAACTTCCTCTGGTTGTAGAAGCACATACCTAAGTCTCGTTGTCAGCTAATGGTTTCCTAGGGTCTGGATGAAACTCACTGTCCGTTGCTGCAGCTTGCGGTTTCAAGTGTCTAGCTTGTGTTTTATTGGTCCGCTCAAAGATCCTGCCGCCGTGCAGAGATTTGATAGGCTAAGCTTGCACAAGACTCTTGAAGGTTGAAGGTTGCCCTGGAATTGAAACACCTTTAATCGACAGCGAAGTCTTATTTCGAATGGTTTTCCTTGAAGAAGCAGAGTATGAAACGGTAATTGATTCAGAATTCGAGAAGTGGACGGCCTCCGTGGCCCTATTTATGTTTCGTCAAAAGCGTTCATGTTACAAGACGGCCAATTATCGTCCCATGCCCATCAATTGTCGATCGAATTCAGCTCAGCATCCGATGGCTAGTCGACTACGGTGTTCTATCATCACACCCGCACCTCCCCATCCAGTGATTTCGCGGTTGGCTATGCTGGAATTTCCTTGACTGTGGAGACACGAAAAACCCACCCCCTTCCTGTTCGGGGCAACTGTAATCACCGGGTGATTCACAAATGCATACATCCTGCTGTCGTGTTCTCTCATCCAGCCCGTGTTGAAAATCCCTCATTCGCCATGATTGATCTCTTTTGGCCTTTGTCCTGTTAGCTCGGATTGTTGTTGCAGCCTGAGATGCTCCGTTGATCGTCCCCGCTTCGTCTATGGCTTTCCGCTGCGTACGAACCGGAATTCAAGAATCAACCAGACCATCCGCTTGCTGAATTAAAGCTCCTGCATGAGGCAGTCGCTTTTACTTTTGTGCCAGCTGTCATGCTGTCCGTCTTACATCGAAGGTCTTTTCCTTCCCGTTGAACGGCAACCTAACATTTCGGCATGGAGGGGATAGAAAACTACGGGTGCCGTTTGAAACGTCAATGTGATCAATGCTCCGACCACCTAGTCTGGTTTGTTACATGCTCTCCCATCCATGACTTTGAGACTATCTGCTTACGACCAATTAGTTCAATCGCAAGCGATCCTGGTGGCATACATTCTGCAACGGAGTCATGCCGAGAAAGAAGCCGGATTCTAGATTGAATCCGCTTCTGGGTGCATTTTTCTTTTTCGAATCTCTAGCAAGCTGCCAGCCTGCCCAATAGGCCAGGGTTTCGTTGTCTGGCTGCAACACTAATAAGTTGCTTTTTCCAATTTGTTGGACACTGATCGATCTTTTGCAGATGAGCTAACCCTCGTGCCTGTGACCGTCTCGTATACTCCGCAGGCTTCCGTCTGGTCATCACTTACCAAGGAAATTCTCTTCGCTCCATTCATGGTGGCGAAAGACGCGTCACTGGAAGGCCTCGATTGGCACCTGGTTTGTCCTTGGACATGACCCTATAGAGTGAACATGACTTGCATTTGCATGACGAGCTCAGGTCTCTATGAGGGACTGATTCTCTTCAGCTGATCTCCCACATCTGCAGAGGAATAATCCCGCATGTGCCCCCGCTCAGGTGCAGGGTTTATCTTCAGTCATTTTGCTTTGCTCCGCTGAAAACGATAGGATATCATTTGTGCTCATCAGCCATGGCAGATACCGACTGTGGTACGGTGCACCTACAGTTGAATCCATGCAGCTGCATTAGAGCTCGGAGACTCACTGACGTGGCACCCTTCGTCTGGCTCAATTGCTCGAGATTCAAGTCTGCTGTGCTGATGGAGGACTGTTCTCAACTGGAAACTGATCAGTGCAATGTTAGAAGGGCTCTGAGGCTGTCGATTTCGCTTTGACTTGCCTCCGACTCCGCGAATAGGGGTTCGATACACCCACATCTCCGCTTGTCCGGACATCCTAGAAGATGATTGCGTGAAAGGCTCTTACTTGTCTGCCTGTAGTATTGAGCATCGAATCATCGGCTGGTGCGCTCTGGCCTACGGTACACTGGGTGGACGAGCATAGATCCATGGACTGATTGCTGTTGCCAACTCAGCAGCTGCCGGATTTGGCTGACCACCGCCATGATGAAATTAGATCGATAACACACCGTGCATTGAATTCAGACTTTTCCTCCCACCGGATACCAGAGCGCGATTTGCCACCCATCTGCCTCTTCTCGCAGGCTGTCTTACTTCGGATGTTTCTAATCCAGCCTCGCCTGTGGCGATTGCACATTAGAAACAAGGATTCGGGGCCTACGGATTTGAAAAGATGGCCTTGCTAGGCCGGCCGATCCCCTTTCAGTACCCCAAAATCTATGGGGTGATTTTCTGGCCACAACAGCTCGAGAATTGCCTGCTGCATACTACGATGACTTTTACATATACTTCTGACGACGTTGAAATTGGATTTTGAGACCCACCCACGCGCACCACTATGCTGGGTTCCTTCGATCCCGTGATTGTAACGTGACCGGCTTCTTCTGCGCTTCTGCGCGTACCTTTTTCTCTTGCAGTCAACAAATGGAACCTGCGAAACAGGCATTGGGGGGATTAAGGTGAGAACGCACTCTTCGCTGTTCCGAGCGCACGAGCCGAGATTGGTCCATTTTCGAAAGGCTATTAAATAGCGTCAGCGCTTCATATCCAATGAAGTTCACCAGCTGACAGGCTGCTCGGGAAGTGCATGCAAGCTAAGAAGATCCCTGTCGCGATATCTGGGGCCCATGAGAAACACGCATTAAGAAAGCTAGTATGGATGAATTCCGGGTCCTCGCATCTGCAAGTTGGCACCTGAAGTTGTTTTCCTGCGGGTGTTGGGCTTGGGCTACGAAAGGTGCGTCCTGCATAGTCTAGACCCCTGCTCCTGGCATAAACCTTGCCCTCCTCTCGAGGTCGAACGGCGAACAAAGTATGTTTGGGTCATTCTACGATTGCACTTTCCTCTTCGAGTCAAGACATTCGCAAGTCACAGCATGGTCGATAGACCCGGCCCTAGAATGCATAGTGCTTCAGTCCAATTGTGGACCAGCTGGGCATTTAGTCGGTTCTCATTCTACGCAAGGCTTGCGTGAAGGTGTCGGTCCCAGCGGAGAAAGCCGCATCGAAGGTGATATCAAATTCTGGTACCGAAATGCACGAGGACTGTGCCCATCACACTTCAACAGTCGCCCGAGGATCATTTCAGGTATGGGATAATTGACGTGGCATGTCGGGCAGGCTTTGTGGACGGGCCTAGAGAAAACATTTCTACCATCCGGCAGATATGTTTCTTTCTTAGCGGCTACCCTCAGAGTGCTATGCCAATCTCTCGGCAGACTCTATTCGAGCCGGCTTTTTTAGTATAACAGCAAGCAGTAGATACTATTTTTGCGTAGTCCTCGTGTACGTCAATTCGGTATTGTCAGTAACAAGCGAGTCGTAAAGCTGCCGTGAATTGGGCCAAATGCACTTGATGTCATTTGCAAATGATCATTTAATGGATAGTATTGTTCTCAAGTAAATACCCAGGTAAAATCGGATGATCAATTCCTGGGTTGAACACAATAGACATGCATTGCTTGCGATGGCACAATGCCCGGCATATTCACATCACGTGGTAGCTATGTCTTCTGCAGTGCCGATGACGTCAACATGATGGGTGCGAGCGGCGGGCATTGATTCCACCTTCCATTTCCCTTTCTCCCTCCCCAGATCGATCTTGTTCTTCCATCATACAATTCCAATCCCATCTACTACTGCTGAAGTCCTCATTCATCTGTAAGTTTCTCCAAGTCCTCTAAGATACGAGCCGCATTGACCAAACGACTAAGACACCCATACCTCGCGCTTCCAGTACTATAAAACCATACATACTACATCGTTCGACATACCTCAATTGCCCCATTACTCCTCTCCCAAGTCCTGCAGGCAAACTAAACAACCATCAACCATCATCAACCATGTTCAAACAAATCACATCCATCAGCCGGAGCGCTCTCCGCCAGAGCAGCAGCATCCACCATCTTCGGCAAACCCCCGCCGCCGCCGCAACCGCAACCACAACCGTGAACCAGAAGACGCAACGACCCTTCCACTCCATCCCCGCGCTCCGCACGTCTCAAGGCCAGCGCGAAGAGATGGAGTCCGGCGACCGAAACGTGCTGGACCCACAGCCCTCCGAGTTCTCCAAGACCGGCACCGACCAGGAAGTCTCGCAGCACGATGCGGCCTTCGACCCCTCCAAGACCTCGCCGGAGAGCCAGATCGAGGCGACGCAGGAGGAGACCAACCAGAGCGGCAAAGTGAGCAACCCGTTGAACGTCAGCGGGGCGAACAAGGGCGTCAGCGAGGGGCGGGATCCCACGGAGGGTGCCCCGGAACGGAACGCGGACCGGGAGGCGTCGAGCAAGCGGGGCCAGACGAAGAAGGGGAAGGAGGTGAACGATTGGAAGAAGAAGTATTGATCGAGAGTGGATTTCTGTCATACATACGTACTTTGTTTAATAGAAGCCTGATATATTTTGCCAATGATCGCATCGTTCTACTTTTTAAGGCAGTATGTGGTAACGATAGTCGTATTAAGATATATATGGTTGACTTCAAACACCCATCACAGTCCAGTCCAGTCCGTCAATCACAATTTCGATTCCCGTAAAAATACACAAATTGATAATACACACCAACTCCAGAAAGCCAACTAGTGCAGCGCAATCAAGCCGTTTAAAGATTGTTTCCGTCCTTCTACTCCTTACCCAACTGAAGGATCTCGCTGCCATGCAGCGTCCAGACCTTCTCAATACCGGCAGGGACATCGCCCTCCAGCGCCTTCAACCCGGCATTGACCGCGGCCCGGCCGATGACATCGGCATCCTGCGCCCATCCGTCCTTCAGGCTGGAGTGGACCTTGCCCAGGAGACCCGCGAACCCACGCACCACCGCCTCCGCGGGGCGACTCTCCTCGCGCTGCCCGCCGATCAGCCCGGGCCGCAGGATGACGGTCCGCTCGAAGCCCAGCGCCTTGACGTCCTCCTCGATCTCGCCCTTCATCCGCGGGTAGGCGAAGAACGAGCCCTTGTCGGCGCCCGACGAGGAGATCAGCACGTACACCTTGACGCCGGCGTCGCGCGCGGCGCGCGCCGTCTCGACGTTCAGACCGTGCTCGATCTTGTACTGGTTGTCGAACCCGCCGGCGGCGGCGCGGGTGGTGCCGAAGGCGGAGATGTAGATGCTGGGGGTCGGGGTCAGCGACGCGAGCTGTTCGGCCCACTTGGAGGTGTCGTCGGAGACGAAGGTGGTGAGCTTCTCCTGCGGCGCGGCCGTGGCAGGTTGCGGCGTGCGGCGGGAGATGGTGTCCACGCGGGCGATAGAGGGGTTTTTGAGCAGGCTGGTGAGAATGCAGCTCCCCTGGGAAGATTTGTGGTTAGTATATGCTTGAGTACAGTCTTTCTCGGAACCTCCCATATGCATCGCGGTAGTCTAGAGCAGGGATGTAATCAAGGGAGAACAACACGGGCCTTGGCGTGAGCCTAAAAAGAGCTTGTTTGCTCAGGACGTACCACCATGCCAGTAGAACCGAGTAGAGCGACGTTAGCCATTGGGCTGATTGTATGTAGTGAAGTAAGGATGTGATCAGTGGACAGATATAGTAAAATGGGGGATTCAATCTCCTGCAGTGCGGCTTGAAAGGAACTGCGCGGATGACGTTTGTTGGGGATCAGCGGGTCCATTACAAACTCACTGGTACAAACTCACAATTCGTGCCTCAGGCATAAGGACCAACCCTTCACGTGCCCACTGCCCAGGCCCCCATGGTTCCTTGCATTAGTAATGCGGGGAAGTCGGCCGAAAGCGGAGAGATTCTGCCCTCAGATCCCGCCTCCGACCCTCCAATTTTTTATCGATAAGAAATTGCGTGATTGCCACTAGCCGGATAAGGCATGATCCCCTGGGCTTTTCTATACGGCGGCGACGGGCTTTTTATCCCCCTCCCCCTCATTGCCTTCGTCTTTCCTCCACTTATTCTCTCTCTCTCTCTCTCTCTCTTTCTCTTGTCTTCACCTAAGTGTTATCGGTTGTGTGACACCGGTATCCAGACAAGAATTCCTCACAATGGGTGCTTCTTGCCCAGCCTTGTCCGCCCTCAGCGGCCCTACCTATGTGACCGCCCAGACCCTCATTCAGCAGGTCGCATACCTACTCAGTGATAAGATCTTCTCTTACTCTCCTGAGTCATTCGATTTGGATGCTGCTCTCCGCCAGTGGGCTTCCAGCCAGGAGACCAATGCCAATGGCGAATCCCCCGAGATCAAGGCTATGGAAACTCGCCAGGGTGCCGGCAACATCGCTCTCGGTTACATCTTCTCTCAAGACTTCGACCTGAAGAAGCGCCACGTCCCTCAGGGTATCGTTGCCTCTTCGGCTACCCTCCCCTACATGCGTGCGGCTTTGGAGCAACTCTCGCTGCTCTACTCTGTGGCTAGCCCTGTTGCTGCCCATGTTGCTGCTGTCGACTATGCCGCCGAAGACGGCCTGGTCTCCGACTATGCCACTGCCCTCGCCCTCGCCGAGGAGCTTGGACTGGGTCTGGTTTCCAGTGCCTCTGCCCACGAATCGCAGCACATGGCCCTTCTGACCACTCTGCTCGCCTCTGTCCTGCCTTCCGTTCACATCTATGATGGTGTGCGCGTTGGCCGGGAGCACACTCGTGTCATCGACATCCTCGATCAAGCCGGCCTTGCTCGCACGTACGAATCTGTCCGTAAGACTCTGAAGGATTCCCGCAGCCGCCACCTCGACAACCAGGGCAAGCTTCTGGAGCTCCTTCAGTCTTTGAACGGTGAGCTCGGAACCGATTACGGTCTCTTCGAGTACCATGGCCATGTCGAACCCGTTTCCGTTCTGGTTGCCTTCGGTACCGTCGAAGCATCCCTCACTGCCCAGATTGCCCGCTCTCTCGCCAAGGACGGTGTTCGTGTGGGTGTGGTAAATGTCCGTGTCTACCGTCCCTTCGTGGAAGAAGAGTTCCTGCGCGTGCTGCCCAAGTCTGTCAAGACTGTCGGTGTTCTGGGACAAGTTGTCAACGAGCAGGCCGTCCAAGAACAGGGCGTTCGTTCCGCCCTCTATGAGGACGTTCTTGCTGCCCTCACCTTTGCTACCGACCGTGAGCAGGCCCCGACCACCGTGGACATCAAGTACCCCCGCTCTCAGCGTTGGGATTTGATCAACACTGCCGCCGCTTTCCAGCTTATTCACGAGAAGCCTATCGTCCAGGCCGGCGCCGAGACTGAGCCCCTCCAGCTTTTGGACCCGTCTGCTGTCCAGGAATACTCTTTCTGGGACACTGACAACTCCGTCGGCGGTGATGTCGCAACTGTTCTCTCCCAGGCTTTGGCTGCCGACTCCGCCAGCAATGTCACTACCAGCAAGGCCCATGACAACCTGATTCAAGGAGGAGTTGTCCGCGTCGATATCCGCAAGAGCTCCAAGATTCTGGATGCTCCCTACTCCGTCACTGCTGCCGACACCGCCTTCGTCGGAGACCTCAAGCTTTTGGGAGACATTGATGTCGTCGCTTCTGTCAAGGCTGGCGGCAAGATCATTGTCAACGCTCCTGGCGTGAAGGATGATGAGCTGGAAAAGAAGCTGCCTGTGGCCTTCAGACAGTCCATCGCCGAGCGCGGAATCTCCCTCTACTTCGTTGACCCCTCCGCTGCCGGAGAGTCTGTCCCCGAGTCTTCTGTCATTCAGGTCGCCTTTTTGCGTGTGGCTCTGCCCACCCAAGAGTCGGTTGGTATCAAGAAGCTGGCCTCGATTGTGGGCAATACTGATGCTTTGGAGAGTGTCAGCAAGGACCTCGAGAAGGTCCTTCGCCAGATCGAAGTCCCTGAGTCCTGGAAGACCCCTGAGGAGGGAGCCCAGATTCCTCAGTTGCCCAAGGATATCTCCCCCAACAGCTTTGTTGCCTTCGACAAAGAAGAGAGCGAGCCTGCCTCCTACCTCAAGGACTGGGAGGCCGCCGCCAAGGGCTTGGCCTTCAAGGAGGCCTATGATACCAAGACTGCTCTCCGTCCTGACCTTGCTACCAAGACCTTCACGGTTCACGTCAAGGAGAACAGACGCTTGACCCCTGTCACCTATGATCGTAACATCTTCCACATTGAGTTCGACCTTGGCGACTCTGGACTCAAGTACGACATTGGTGAGGCACTGGGTGTCCACGCTGAGAATGACGCCAACGAGGTTCTCGAGTTCATCAAATTCTATGGCCTCAACGCCGATGACATTGTCGAAGTGCCCAGCCGTGAGGACCCCGCTGTTCTGGAGAACCGCACTGTTTACCAGGCACTGGTTCAGAACATCGACATCTTCGGCCGCCCTCCCAAGCGCTTCTACGAAGCCCTTGCCGAGTTCGCCGATGACGAGAAGGAGAAGACCGACCTCCGCACCCTCGGTGGCCCCGAAGGTGCCGTGGAGTTCAAGCGCCGTGCTGAGGTCGACACTGTCAGCTTCGCTGACATCCTTCTGGAATACCCCTCTGCCCACCCTGACTTCCACGACCTGATCCGCATCGTCGGCCCCATGAAGCGCCGTGAGTACTCCATCGCCTCGTGCCAGAAGGTCACCCCAACCACCGTGGCTCTCATGATCGTCGCCGTTACCTGGACCGATCCCCGCGGCCGTGACCGCTTCGGCCAGGCGACCCGTTACCTGAGCCGCCTGCAACCGGGCACCCCCATTACCGTCAGCGTCAAGTCCAGCGTGATGAAGCTGCCTCCCAAGTCTACTCAGCCTTTGATCATGGCTGGTCTGGGAACCGGTCTGGCGCCCTTCCGTGCCTTTGTTCAGCACCGGGCCCTCGAGAAGGCCCAGGGCAAGGAGATTGGCGCTGTCCTGCTGTACATGGGCTCTCGTCACCAGCGCGAGGAGTACTGCTACGGCGAGGAGTGGGAGGCCTACCAGGAGGCCGGGGTCATCACCGTCCTCGGCCGCGCCTTCTCCCGTGACCAGCCCGAGAAGATCTACATCCAGGACCGCATGCGCCAGACGCTGCCCGAGATCGTCCAGGCTTACATCCGCGAGGAGGGTGCATTCTACCTCTGCGGCCCCACCTGGCCCGTGCCCGACGTCACCGCCGTCCTCGAGGAAGCCATCGCCATCGAGGCCAAGGCCCAGGGCAAGAAGGTCGAGCCCCACAAGGAGATCGAGAAGCTCAAGGACGAGGAGAGATACGTTCTGGAGGTGTACTAGAGTTGACGATGGGATGTTCGTTGGTTGGAGGAGATGATAAAATGGATGAAACGCTTTCTGTATATTTTGAAAAGCACGAGGGTCGGCAGGTGAGCTGGCCTTCCTGTTTGAGTTTAGCGCTGTTTCGCATCTAGAACATCCGACAGGATTTCACTTGGATAGACTTGTCAAATCATTCAGTTCACTGTTCAATCATGTTCATTCAATTAAAGTATAATCCCCATTATCCATCAAAACATGCTAGTGTTGGTCCTTAGATCCAGGCAATAGCGTGTACAGTACGTGGCAGACCCATATGCTTCAGTAACAAGCCAATTGCATTCGAATTAAGATCCTCTACAAGCCCGACATATAATCACTCACTACGGTTTGCGTAGCCCGCTACGGAAGCCGAGTTAGCGATCCAGCATTTGGCACCGCAAGTGACGGTCTCAGGCGCTTCCACTGCGGTGCCCGCCCTTTGGCCACGCCTGGCTTTCTCCTGCTGCTCGAGAGAGGCGGGATCTTGATGCAAATTAGTCTATTCTCTTTTTCAAGGTGCCCAATTCTAGGAGCCTGGTACCCGATACATCCTACGATCATCGCCTTGAGTGACCTGTCGACAGAACGGTGGTGGACAATCTCCGCCAGAGCGGCGACCAGCCGTTCCGTACTATGTGCGTCCGGTCCCTCGACGACGAGGAAACATTGGTCCATTCGGGCGAGAGTGGTGAGCAGCCGCTCCAAGAGTTTCTGCTCGCGGTGCTGATGGTGATGGTGGTGGCGGTGGACCTCAGGGTCGTTGCTGTCGGGTGGCCTGTCGATGGGCTCAGGAATGTCCCCTACTGCTGTGGCGGATAGACATTGACTAAGTAGGGATTCCAGTATATCGATGTTGCGGCTGCTTTGCGAGCGGAAGGGCGGGGATGAGAAGCCTTAAAGTACAATGTACTGGCTAGTTGTCGACCGCAGGAAGTCTACCATCTCAACCGCCAGATCCACGGCGCGGGGGTGGGCTGCGGCGCATGCTGCCTCGCAGACGAGGAGGGATGAACCTGATGCAGATCCGATCCAGTCTTGCAGGGAATGAAGAACTGGAAGGGCGTCGCTAGGCCACGGGTTCCAGAATTGGCGTCGCCTGGCCAGAATACAGCGCTCGGTGAGACGCTCTGATTCAACTGGGATGCTTGGTCTCGGTTGTTCAATGGTTGTTGGAACTGGGTTCTGTACCGACAGATGATGGCTGTTCGGTGCGTCGGCTGTAGAAGGTATAGTCGCGGGTATCGGCGGTGGCCTCTCCGTGTCCGAGTAGTAATCTTGTTCCGCATGATCGTTGGACGAGGTCTCCGGTGAATATTTAGCACTGGTACTAAGACGCCTGACGTAGGATAAGAGAACCTTGGCATATGCCGCCGCCGTTGCAGCGGCGTACTCTTGCCACGCTTTGTTCTTGTGAGCATCTGCGTAGTCGCAGATGCCACGGATGACCAAGCACGGCATTGTGTTCATCACCCCGGCCGCTCCCATCTCCAAGCAGAGAATCTGGTGCCGAGATCCCAACTGGTCCCGTACTGTTGAGCTCTTCACTACCTGGTTCCCCGATGCGATCACACCATAGAATATTCGGGGGTAGTCAAGGTTGCGCTCCGGCCGGTCTACCAGTGGACAGGCGCATCCGTTCAGCCCATCATTAGTGGATATGCTGTGCAAGGCGTCCGACTGGTGCAATGAATCATTCTGTGAGCCGGGACGCTGGTAGGAAGGATTCCGCGCTGCGATCTGGTGCAGAAAATCTTGGAGAAAATCCGGAGGGAGATCAGGATCGGATGTGAGATTACTGATTGCCTTCATTAGGACACGCGGGGGTCGTGTCAAAACCCCCACGGCTTGAAAGGAGCCACCCTCCATGACTTTTCCCAGATCATACTGGACTACCCCGGAGTGTGTCTCGGTCGGCTGACTGACCACCACATCTCCAAGGCGAACGTCGTGGGTTCTCGAGGGGACCCCGCCTCCAATTGGAATGGCACGCTGAACTCAAACCAGCAGCGACAATGTCTTCAGCTATCGTGGTCCATAGAGGTTGCATTTTGGTCATTCCAGATCTCGTTTCGCCGGCAGCGGCAAGTTCAACGACTCAATCTTGCCCCCGATGTTGAGGAAACATTCCCTATAAATTCATTGGAATTTTATCCTCTCCAGTTTGCAGGCTCCAGTGTCGAGCAGAGACTCCGCGAGCGGGGAGTCTCGTTTTGGAAATGTCGGCAGCGACGATATGTGGAGTACGGCAAGGATGCCGGTCTTCACGCATGGAGCAGCATCAAGTCGAGGTACATGATTGATCCAGTCACCTACCAGCGAATGCATGGGACTCAAGTGACCGGAGAGACGTCCATGGCATATGCCGATCTACCCGACCACATCCTTTCCCAGGAGCAATGCCCCGAGCACCCTTTTCCTCTGCTGCTGCCCCGTGTCGTCCAAGGGTACAACCTGATAGAGAAAGTCTGGATCGATCTCGAGGTCGAACACATCAGTGACGTGCGGTGGAACACTCAGGCGTTCGAGAATCTGGTCACCGAGGAGCAGACGAAGGATCTCCTCGAGGCCCTTGTGAGGAACCAGCTGAGCATCGAAACAAGCACGGACCTGATATCCGGCAAGGGCAACGGGCTGATCATCCTTCTCCACGGCGGACCGGGCACGGGGAAGACCTACACTGCGGAGAGTGTGGCCGACTATGCGCGGAAGCCCCTCTACCGGGTTAACTGCGGCGACATTGGCACGCGGCCGGCCGACGTGGAAAAGTACCTGGAGACGGTGCTGCGGCTGGGCCGCATCTGGGGCTGCGTAGTTCTCCTGGACGAGGCCGACATATTCCTCGAGGAGCGGACGTTGGCCGACCTCGAGCGCAACGCCCTTGTTTCCGTCTTCCTCCGCGTCCTCGAATACTACAACGGCATCCTGATCCTGACCTCCAACCGAGTCGGCCACTTTGACGAAGCATTCCGCTCGCGCATTCAGCTAGCCCTCCATTACGAGAGTCTGGGGCCTGATCAACGCCATCAGATCTGGTCCAACTTGATCAAACACCTGCGTGCGTCAGAGGCCTGCAGCATGGACTTCGATGACCTGGTTCTGCACATCAATGACTTGAGCTTGTACGAGATGAATGGGCGACAGATCCGTAATGCGATCACAACCGCTCGGCAGCTCGCGGAGTTCAAGAACAAGAGGTTGAATTATGAGATCATAAAGAAGGTGATCACCTGACTGGACGATTCGACCGGTACCTGCAGGGAGTTAAACAGTTGGAGTCTGTGAAGGAAGGGACTGTGGATGACACACTGGCGAGAGAAGCGGGTACGAGGTGAGGCATGTTATGACACTCGGACGACTAATTGAAGCAATCAAACAAAAGCCAACTCCCATCTTTTGTAGATCTATGGGGTATATCTGCTATATTCTTTTGAGGTCCTCATATCGTCCTCGAACGACAGACCACACACGCGCACCCAAAGGAAAGAGATCTAGCCTCCCGGACATAAACAGCTCTGAACACGGAACACGTCGTAACATAGTATCATATACACACAAATCAGCCCAAGTAGTCCAACCCCACGCGAATAATTACCCTACCTAGGGCGACATTCTTCAAGCCCGACCCATGGCCCCCAACTTTGTCTTCCCGTAGGCTCCACCCTTCTCCTTCCTCAGCTCCAGCGCCCGCCGGTACGGCGGCGCCGTAGGCGGCTGCACGGGGTCGAGACTAACGTGGTCCGGTGGCAGGGCATACGAGGCATCCGAGTCCCACGCAGAGAGATCGCCACAGGCGATGAAACGCGGAATCCAGCGGTTCTCGACGGAGAACTTCTCGGCGAGGGGCTTATACGCCAACGGTTCGGGGACAGCGGAAGCCAGCGACTCCGGGTGGAGCAGGCGCGCGATGTCGGTGTCGTTGTCGTCGTTGAGCGTCGTGTTAACTGGGGCCGGATGGTTCACCGGCACGGGCGCCGCCGCCCCGGGCGTCTCATCCGTCACCTCAACGGCCACGTTGTTGCCCGCTGCTGCAGAGGCAGGAGCCGTCACGGCGACACCGCCGAAGACCGGGTTCTTGAGCGCCTCCATGCCCTTCAGTCCGTCGTGGATGGACGGCGGGATGAAGCCCTCGCAGACCACAAAGGCCTCCAGACTGCTGGCGCGGCTGCTCCGCGGCTTGGCGACGCTGACCTTCTCGAAGACGGTGCGCAGCTGCGCGTACAGGAGGTCCACGTCGCGGCCGCGGAAGATCTTGGCGACGAACTTGCCGCCGGGGCGGAGGACGCCCAGGGCGAGGTTGAGCGCGGAGTAGAGGAGTTGCGATTGGATGTAGATGTCTAGGTCGTGGAGGCCGGTCACGTCGGGGGCGCCGTCGGAGATGACCAGGTCGACGGGGTGCGGAGGACGGACGGCGGTCGGCGTAGGGGTGGAGGAGGGGGATGAGTTCTCAGCGCTGGTGGTGGTGGTGGTGGTGGATTCGTAGGCTTCGGGGTCCAGGGCTCGCAGGAGAAGAGGAATGGTGGAGGGGTGGGTGATGTCGGCTTTGAGGGTCGTGATGCCCTCCAGGGGGGCCATGGGCTGCAGATCAATGGAGACGATCTTGACGTTCTTCCGCGGCTTCAGCTCTTCCTCCGTTGTCGTCTCATCCTCGTTCGCGGATTGTGGTGACTCGTTGTTGCTGCTTCCATCGCTCTGCACCCGTTCGAGGGCCTCCTTCTCCCGGCGCTTTTTCTCAACCCAGGCGCGGCGCCCGAAACTCTCGCCCTTGATCAACACGCGACTCAGGACCTGACTCCAACTGCCGGGGGCGGCGCACAGATCGACGACGCGGGTCACCTTCTCCGGGTTCTCGTGCTCGAATAGGTCAAATTGCTCATCAATCTGGATCAGCTTGAAGGCGGAGCGGGCGCGCCAATTCTGCTCCTTGGCCAGGCGGTAGTAGGCATCGCGCTTGTCCTTGGAGGATTTACCCATACTGATTCAGACCGTGTACAATGCAGTTGAAGTAAAAGGTTGGGGTAAGTGCGAGTCAGATTCCAGGCAATGGAGGGGGAAATGGGCGGAATTTCTTTCGGTCTTGCGTGTGGGGCGGCGATAAGATTCCCAAGGCGGCCATTTTCTGCCGCTTTTTTTTCTTTCCCGCAGGTTTCGCAGGCCAGGCCCGCTCCCCTGTCTATCTTTCTTCCATCAGCTGGTTCTTGTTATTCACTTGTCGCGGAGGTGATCGTTCGTCTGAAAAAGTTCCAGTCGCTGTGTGTCATCATGGGTCAAAAACGGCAGCGCGATGCCAAGGGCGCAGATGTCCAGACGAAGAAGCAGAAGAAGAGCGCCAATGCGGACGTTGTTACTGTGAACGATCTCAACTGGAAGGAAGTTGCGTTGCCCGATCGTATGGAGGATGCAGGAGGCTTCTTCGGACTAGAGGAGATTGACGGCGTGGACGTTATCAAGGCAAGCGGTGAAATCAGGTTCAAGGTATGACTTCGAGCTGGTATTCAGGTGCAGACAGTGAAATTGACGTTCGCAGGCCGCCGCTGGCAAACCGCCAAAGTCGATTCTGAAGAAGAAGACCGCGGAAGAGCAAGAGGAAGAAGCAAAATTCGACGACGAATGGGCTGGAATCAGCGACAACGAGGCCTCGGAGAAGGAGAAGACGGAAGCACCAACCACGGAAGAACAAAATGAAGAGCAGGAAGAGGCTATCAAGTCCCCTGTGACGGACAAGCAGCAAGAAGCCAAAGATAAAAGGAAAGAGAAGAGGGATAAGAAGCGGCAGGAAGCCAAGGAAGCAAGGAAACAGAAAGCCGAGCAGAGCAAGAAGGGAACCCCGAATCAGGAGGACAAGAGCATCAAGTCTGGTCTTTCTTTCGCCGCTCTCGAGGACGAGGAAGAGGATAACGGCGTGGATATTTCCGAGTGGGAGTCACTGGGACTCTCTCCGGAAGTGCTCACCGGTCTTTCGAAGCTGAAGTTCTCCACGCCCACTCTGGTCCAGAAGTCCTGTATTCCTCCCATCCTCGACGGCCATGACGTGGTAGGAAAGGCATCAACAGGTTCCGGAAAGACCTTGGCCTTCGGTATCCCGATCCTGGAACACTATTTGGAGATCAAGCGCACGCAACTGCGCAATGGTACCCAGAAGAAGAAGGAAGAGACGGAACCCATCGCCCTGATTCTCTCGCCCACTCGCGAACTCGCACATCAGTTGGCCAAGCATATTGGTGACTTGATCCAGCAGTCGCCAGGCGCCAATGCACGCATCGCCCTTCTCACGGGAGGTTTGTCCTTACATAAACAGCAGCGCTTGTTGGCTAGTGCGGATATTGTGGTCGGAACGCCGGGTCGAGTTTGGGAGGTTATGAGCACGGGCCAGGGTGTGATTCGCAAGATGCAGGGTATCAAATTCCTTGTCATCGATGAGGCTGATAGATTGCTCAGCGAAGGCCACTTCAAGGAAGCAAACGAGATCATTACTACCCTTGACCGCATAGTGGATGGGGACTTCCAGTACGAAGAGAAGGAAGCGACCGAGGAGGAGGAGAAGAAGAACGAGAGGCAGACCCTGGTCTTCTCTGCTACTTTCCATCGGGACTTGCAGCAGAAGCTTGCCGGCAAAGGACGCTGGACGAGCGGTGATATCATGGACAAGAAGGAGTCGATGGAGTATCTTCTGCAGAAGCTGAACTTCCGAGAAGAGAAGCCCAAGTTTATTGATGTCAACCCTGTCTCGCAGATGGCCGAGGGACTGAAGGAAGGCATTGTCGAATGTGCAGCGATGGAAAAGGTAAGCCTACAGTTATACTACCGTCAAACAATCACCCTCGCTGACCAAATGACCCCAGGACCTCTTCCTCTACACGCTACTTCTCTACCATCCCAAGCACCGCACCCTTGTCTTCACCAACTCCATCTCGGCCGTCCGTCGTCTCACACAGTTCCTCCAAAACCTCCAACTCCCCGCGCTGGCCCTCCACTCCTCGATGGCGCAGAAGGCCCGTCTGCGCTCCGTGGAACGCTTTTCATCCCCCACCTCCGACCCCAGTTCGATCCTCGTTGCCACCGACGTGGCGGCGCGTGGTCTCGACATCAAGGGCATCGAATTCGTCATCCACTATCATGCGCCCCGTACCGCCGACACCTACGTGCACCGCTCCGGTCGTACGGCCCGTGCCGGTGCCTCGGGCAAGAGCGTGCTCATCTGCTCCCCCGAGGAGATGCAGGGCGTCATCCGCCTGGCGGCCAAGGTTCACGCCAACATGGCCAACGCCAAGAAGGTGCCCCTCGAGTCTCTCGAGCTGGATCGCCGGGTCGTGGGTCGCGTCAAGCCCCGCGTCAAGCTGGCGGCGAAGATCGCGGATTCATCCATCGCCAAGGAGAAGATCTCCGCGGAGGACAACTGGCTCCGCAACGCGGCAGAAGACCTGGGCGTTGACTACGACAGTGAAGAGTTTGACGAGTCGGCGGGTCGCGGTCGCGGTCGCGGTCGGGGCCGTCAGGAACGGCAACGCAAGGCCGGAGAGACCAGCAAGGCCGAGATGGCCAGCATGAGGGCGGAATTGAAGCAGCTGCTCTCGCAGCGGGTGAACGTGGGTGTGAGTGAGCGGTATCTCACCTCGGGACGGGTGGACATCGAGGCGCTGCTGCGTGGCGAGGGCAACAGTTCGTTCTTGGGGCAGGTGGATGCGTTGGAGTTCTAATCAAGGGGCCGATGAAGAGGAGAAGCAGCTCTGCTTGATGCATGTATATACCTAGTAGACATTGTACAGTTTCGTTAACATGCATGCTCTGCTCCATGTCATTGCCTTGGTATGGTAATCTTCTTGGACGCTGGGTAGCCAGGTACAAACTGTGTAGAATGAGTCCGCATGAAGTCAATGCAACACATTACAGGAAGGTCTTTGATACACGAGCGCCAGATAATGATCATTCCTTGTCTTTCGAGTACTCTGGGGGAAATCCCCACCTCTGCCCGGTTTGCCCTCACACAATCAGATCCAACTCTGTGAGCCCATAGCACTTGTCGCACCCCAAATTCTCATATTTTGAAGGGCAAAAGAACAATGCCTCCCTCCCATTATACCGCAAATAATCTGTTCTAGCCTCAGTCACAGCTTTCTGCAGCACAAGAGATACCATGTCAACGACCAACAACGAACGAGCCTTTCTTAGACGTCCATGAAAGCCCGACATCAGCAACCGCACGAGGAAGCCCTCCGACCACTTTCTGACTGGTCCCCGACGTACAGATGGATGATAACAGGCGCCTGCTGCATATCAAGCTTGCTCGCTTCCTTGGCCGCCAGTTGCCACAGCCTGTGTTCATCAGGTGCGCAATCCCTGTCATTACATGTCAGGTATACTGCGCAGTGACCAGTCCCATCCTCGGTGGCCGTGGGCACTTTCGCTGTAAGGGCCTTCTCCTTTTACTTGTCTGGTTTCATTTGTCCGGCGGATACATATCATCGCTTCGCGAGTTCGGCGTTGGTATCGCAGAGCTTCTGCCGGAATATGCCGGGCGGTGCCTTCCCCTTGATATCTCGGCAGATGGTCCAGAACGGTCCAGAACATGAGCTTTGATCTGGCTTGGACCTCGAATCCGACGACAAAGCAGGCTGGCTAGGAAGATGATGGATTGACGGGCAGATAAGAAGTCTGCAAAACGGGTCAGAAGGCACGAGATCTATAGCGTGCGCGTCGCAAAGTTGATAACAAGATGAATGAGGGTCGGAAGGAGCTATGGAGGGATATGAGATATGACGCTATATCAGATAGTAAGAGGTAAGTGGAACCGCCCCTACCACATGCCACCCCCGAATTGGACAACGTCATCTCTCCACCTTCATCATGAAGCCCAGCAAGTACGGCATGTGTGTAACCAGAGATTCATAGCATGATTCTCTTCCCAAAGTGCTGCTAGCTTCGAGCCAAGCCTGGAGATAATTGTTTTCTAGATGCCATATAATTTGATGCATCGTCAAATGATCATGGGGTTCATTACACAGATATCCTCGAAAAAGCGCCATACACCATGGAGTGTCTCCCTTTCTGAGACGCAAATAGAGTATCAAGTATCCACACAAGGCCTACAGACAAACTCAATTCTACATACTCGTACTGTACTAAAGGCAGACTCTTCTGTAATATCTCATTTGACAAAAGCTATGAGCTGCCTTAATCCTGCTCCGTACATGACCCAACTCGTAGCATGGATAAAGAAACTCCCTAAGCAGGTGTATTCCACATTAAAATTCATATGACCTCATCAACACACAAGTATACCGCCCGCCCTCGAAGCCGAGCCGAGAAGCGCCCCACCCGGAACTCTGGCGCGGAACACCCGCCCACGTCGGGGTTTAATTGGGCGGATTCCACCCGATGCGCCGGGTCCATGGATCCCACGTGGGCTTACCGAGATAGGAAGTATGATCCACTCCGTTGGGATGCGCCAGGCTTTTTCTTCATTTTTTTTTTCTTCTCGAGGCTGGATAGAATCACTTCAACCTCGAAGCTATAATCCTGCCAGAGAAGACCAGGGCAGCTGTCTACACAGTAAGTACTCCGTCGCATACTCCAATGGCATCATCAGCACATCCCCAGATCAAACAACAGTCAACCCCCATACTACTGTACAGTACAATCACATCATCGCCATCGCAAATCGATAAGACCCTACCTAACTGACCACGCCAACCCAGAGTCACCGCAGTCACCACCAGGAGTCACCACCGGAATCTGAACCAGTCCCTATAAATCCAGCCTCGCAAGCAACATCCCACACACACATATATCCCCCGTATCGAATCCCCAGCAGCAGCCTCAGCACAACACAAAATGCCGCACCTCCCGCGCCTCAGACCCCTAACCCGGCTCCTCCTGCGCCCTCAACGCCCTCACAACCACAACCACCACCTCGACCCCCTCCCAACCCACCCAACCCCGACCATCAACCCAAAACCTCAAACGCGCACCCTCCGCTCCGCAACCGCCACCTCCGCCACAGCAACAACATCCCCAACAACCCAAACCATCCCCGGAAGCCAACCACCAACCCGCCCCCCCAACACCAACGAAGCCTACGAAATCACGCAAGCCGAAACCCAGCTCACCACGCACCCGCTCCTGCAGACCCTGCGGAGCGACAAAAGCTACACCGAGACCCGGCCGCACCTGTCCATGATCCCCGCGCACCGCGCCTCGCACTTCGTCGCGGGCACCCTCTCCGGCGCCCACAAAGTCACCGTCCCGCCGTACGTCTTCACGCGCACCAAACCAACCCAATCCCCACAGCGCGAACCACCCCACCAACCCCCACAGACCCAAGCAACTCTCGCGCAAACCATCTCCCTCTTCCACCTGGGCACGACCCTCAACGGCCACCCGGGGTACGTGCACGGCGGCCTGCTGAGCGTGATGTTCGACGAGACGTTCGCGCGCTGCGTGGCGGCCTCCTTCGCCAGCGGGGTGGGGATGACGGCCAACCTGAGCGTGGACTTCCGGAAGCCCGCCCGGCCGGACCGGGTGTATGTGCTGCGCGCCGAGACGGTGCGGGTCGAGGGCCGGAAGGCGTGGGTGGAGGGGTCGTTGACTTCGTTGCCTCCTGCGGGTAGTGCCTCCGAGGGAGAAGGGACGATGGTCGCGGAGGCGAGGGCGTTGTTTGTCGAGCCGAAGTTTGCCGAGGTAAGTCTGTCTCTTTCCTCTTTCGGAGAGTAGGGGGTGATGGGGTAGTGGCTGATTTTCATTCGAAACTAGTCTATGGTGCCGTTGTATCGGAATTGATGGAGTCAAACATTGTGGTGGGTTGCAGTGGGAGAGTATAGTGAGGAGGAGTACAGTACGTGAGTGAGAAGTGCGTATAATACCCGGCGTTGTCTTTAATACTAGAATAAATATAGACATAGACACACATAACATAGACACACTAAATATAGATCAATTTATTACAAACACAACTTTTACACACTCATCTCACCATCGCCATATTTGCATTTCTATCTAAATTGAACCAATACGGAGAAGGTCCCGCCTGGAAACTCCTTTTCCCCTTCAAAATACACATGAGAATCAACTCACACCCAGAAATGCCCACCCGAAATTGAGAAACAGAAAAAAGAACACAAACACATGCAAATCATTTTCCGTCAACGAACCACTTTCCCCTGAGGTTCCCTCACCACTCTTCTACGACAGATGGAATGCACCCTGGCCCTCTTTGATGGCAACAGACAGTCGCTCGCGAAGGGTGTCCAAGCTGCTGTAGTCGGGAAGCTTCAGGTAGTTGACACAGGTCATGACACTAGGCAAGTAGTCGTCGGGGGTGTATGGCGGTTCGCTGGGCCGACAGACCACCGTGAAGATCGGAGTGAGACTCTTGAAGCCTACATAACATACGTTAGCAAGTCATCCTCCGCTCAGGGTGTTTTAGAGGTTCCTTACCGCCAATCGGCAGCTTGGGACTGCCGGTCACAAACTGCAAGAAGTCTCGTCGTTGTTGTGCATTCAGCTCGCTCATCGTCTGGAGCAAGTTTCGCACGCTCCGGCTGTCCATGTTGAAGCCATGGTCAGCTTTGATGGAGTCCATCAGGGCTAGAACCAAGGTTAGTAGGGTGCTCTGACACATTCTTAGGAAAACACCTACTCTCAATAGTCCAATCCTCCTCGGCGCGGCCGAACAGCATAACCAGTTCATTGGGAGTGAAGGTTCGCAGAGCCGAGTAAGGGAAAACCTGCGAAAAGCCCGCTCGGAAGGCTTCCACTTGACGCTGCACTCCACTGCCCAGGGTCATGTCCACCACTCGGTCCACGTACAGATCCACATTTTCGATCACCACTGGGATGTTCGAACCGTTCTTAATCAACTCAATAGCTGGATATCCGGGTAGTGTGAAATCCAAGCTTAGATCTTCGACCTTAACCCCATTGATTTCGACGCCTTGGAGGGCCTGGGCTTTCTGGGTTACAGACAGCCCTTTGTCCTCTTCGATGGCCTTTTTCAAATTGGCGTAGCGCTTCAGCAACATCAGTGAATTGGCCAGGTCCTGGTCGACAGCCTTCACGGTCCCAAGCGACGGCGCAACGAAGGATGAGCTATCGGCAATGCGGAAGAAGGCTGGGTTGAACGAGATGTCGATGATTCGAGAGTCGAGCATCGACCGGGCAACAAATTTTCCGAGGATCTTAAACAAGTGCAGTTGCTTCTTACCGGCTTCCGATGCAGCCTGTGCCTCACTCATGGGCGCAGGGAACAGACCGCGCTTACCGAAAGCGTATTCTTCGCCATTGGCGCAATCGTTCTCCCTCCAGATCTTCAACTTCTTCTTCGAGAACTCTTTCGAGACGGTGGAGTAGAACTCAAGAGTAGGGCCCAAACCGGTACCGACTTCCTCAAAGTATTCAACCTCCAGCACGCTCGGAGAAGACCCATAAAGCTCCATCACTTTAATGGCAGACTCCAAGATACGGCTCCTTGAGATCCTCACCTTCTGCCGCTGCAAGCGACCGAGGATAGGTCGGTCATCGCGCCGACTATCGTTGCGGCTGTCATCACCGTTCTGAGAATTGTGCCACCTCATCATTGCGCGCGAATAGCCGAACGCAGTTGACTGCAGGAACAGGTGCCGCGTCTCGAACGGAAACAGGAATGGGAAGAGGCGGGCGAGGTCCTCGCTCCAGCTAGGGAGACAGCTACTCGCCACGATGAGAGGCTCTTCCAATTGTCGGTTGAGCTTGGCAGTCAGCTTAGTGTTGATGAATTGAGCCAATGGCTCAGGCTTCAGTGCGACCAGCTCTTTAGTCTCTGCAATGATGTCGTCGAGAGTGGCATTCATCTCGTGCAAGACACGCAGAAGCTGAAGGATCATCGCAGTCGTGGGGCCTTGACTGAGAGAAGCCGGCATCTCTTCACCCTCGGTCTTGGCAGAGCCGCCAGAGCCTCCCTGGGCGACGGAGGGGGGTTCTGGGGGAGGGGGGCCTGGGACACGCCGGAATTTGACTGTGTGAACTGCCGACCACACGTTTTTTACGCTCGGGTCGACATGCTGACGATTGTGATGCACTGCACGGTAGATGGTGGTATCGCTAGACACCGGGTGATCGTCAATGCTAAACTCAATGTGCCAGTCTGAAGGGATCGAGGCCATGGCAGCCGCATAAGATGAGAACGGTCGACCTGCCGTTGCCAAGGAGCTACCAGATGAGGGGTTGGGGGCGGCGCTCGGTGCAGATGTCGTTGACTTGGAAGCTGGCGTCTGCGATGGTGTAGCTACACGGGTGCCATCTTCTTTGCGAGCAGTCACCTTGCCGGAAGATGCAACCTCCATGTTGACAGCAGTAGGGTCTTGAGCATTATCATCCGAAAGGTCTTCATCGAGATCATCCACAATGGCGTTCAGCTCCTCGTCGTCACCTTCATCATCATGATCGTCGTCATCGCTCAATTGCCGTTCGTCTGCGCATTCGAGCGGCTCATTGTCATGTTCACTTTCGGCGGCGGCTTCCTGACGTCTTGATCGCCTCAATCCTGACTCAGACTCGTCACCACCGGCGACAGTCTCCGCGGGGTGGGTCGAGTTATTCGTCGTGCTCGACGTTCGTGGCAGCTGAGGGCTACCGCTGCTGAAGCGCTCTGCGTCGGCTATTTGCTCACGGAGCCGGGCTGCATTTGCATTTGCGAGTTGGGCAAGGATTGAATCGTGATTACGCGCTGGCCTTGGCCGATCAGACAGGCTGATTCTCGGATGCAAGAAATCATCCAGGGCCTTGAAAGTCGCGATGGCATGAATCGACACCATAATGTTGCGGTAGGTTCTGGGGATGTCGGAGTCCTCATCTGCCACAAGCTTCAATCGGAGTTGCTTCCCAAGCATGTAGGCGGCATTGCTACGTGTATTCTCCAGTGAATTGTGACTGACAGTAGTGACCTCAAAATGCTCAGTCCTGCTGAGCAAATCCTGCAATTTCTGAATGAGCACACTGAAGGGGGTAGTTGCAGTACTCTGGCTTTGGGCCTTTTCCGATATAGTCGACCCCATAAAGGCTTGTAAAAAGGCGGCACGAGCTTCGCGCATAGACGTAGCTAGATACAGTTAGCACAAATCAGCAGGTAAGGACGAGCCTCTTACATTGAAAATCTCCAAAGACCTTGAGAAGTACTGTGATGATGCCAGAGTTCAGCAGCTCTGAGCTAGTGATGCTCTCCAGGGCATCACCGTCGAAGTAAGTTGCCAACTTCTTGAAGAGGAAAAGCCCCTCGTCAGTCTCATCGCCCGAGTAGCAGGCCTCGAGATCGGAAGCAAGAGTCTGCAATTCTTGAAGAGTCTCCAGGGCTTTGTCCCGCATGTCCTTGCCTTGACTAGCTTCGTATTGACTGACAAAGCCCTGAGCGTTGCGGATTACGAGGTCCTTCATGGCATTGGCAATCTTATTAGCCACGAGCTGACCTGAAGCTGACGACGAGCTTTCGGAAATGTCATCGTTATCTTCGTCCTCCGGCTCATCATAGTCATCTTCTGCGTCATCGTCGTCGTGCCCATCCTCGTCGTCTGAGCCTAAAACAGAGCTATCCTTGGCGGGGGCTTCCGCAGCGGGTTTCTCTTCCTTGGCGGTGTCCTTCGTGGTGGTATCGCCGGTCTGCTTTTCCAGCTTGTTGGTAGACAATGGCTGCTGAGCAAGCTTGAAGATCTCGGAAATGACCCCTTCGCGGTGGAATTGATGCCGATACACATGTTCCAGGCGCAAGAACAGGAGTTCTGCGCAACGAATAGCGTGAGACACCAGCGTGGGGTGATCGTTCTGGGAAAGGATCGCTGCCAGGAAAGATGCGTAAGGAACCGATTTCAGAGCATCTTCAATCAAGCCGACGTCCAAATTGTGAAGCATCTTGAGTTGAGCGGTGAGAACCTTTTGGCGAACTTCCAGATTGACAGTGCTGGAGTAGGCATCGGTAAGAGTCGGCAACAGTATCATGGCAAACCGCTTGAGTTCCGTTTTACATTCCAGCAGCAATTCGCGCCGTCTCTCGGCCGACTCTTGCGCCTTGGGATGCTTGGAAATGCCACTGGGCCCGATCAAACCTTCGAGTTGTGGGACATGCCGGCTCGGGACGCTAGGCAATAGCTCACATATGACATCAAGAGTCTCAAAGACCTGCTCCTTGGGACGGTGGATCAATGCTTGCATGACCAATACGCTGTCCATCTTCACAGCCGTATCGTCCAAGTTGGCCGGAGGCGACACACCAGTCAGGATCTGGTATAAAGTGTCGACCACGTCCATTTTCAGCAGCTCCACGGACAATTTAGGGCTGGCTCTCGAGGTAATCGCGAGTACACGCAAGAATTGAGTGTGGATATGCGACCCGATGAGGTTGGTGGTTCCGGGCAAAAGCAATCGAAGCACAGCTTTCAGCATGGCGGGTTCAATCAGCTCCTCCAACTTTTCCGGCTTGTGTTTATAGCTTTCAACGATCCGCGAAACGCAAAGGCACGCCTGTTCAACCACCTTGGGATCGTTGCTGGAGAGCACGTTGAGCAGGGTCGGCATCACATCACGAACAACTGGAAATGAGTCGTGAGGTAGGTTGCGGCAGCAGTTGGCAGCAGTTGTCACGGCCGTGCGCTGCGTGCTGGTAGGAAAGAAATCGAGGTAAGTCAGACAGGCTGTCAAACCACCTTCCCGCACGATCG